CAGTATAACCTTGAGCTATTGAAACACGCAGGGAATGTACAAGTACTACAAGAACTTCCTCCTTCCGAATATATGTTCGTAAGTGCAAGCATGGAGGCCACTTCAGATCCTGCTGCTGTTGAATACCAATCAGTAATATCTCACTTCATTGGAATGCGAAACATACTTATTCTGCTGCAGATGTGGTAAGAGCAAGAGATTTCATTAAAACACATGTAAAACCCCGGACGAAGGAAAAAAATAGCGATTTTAAGACACAATAGCACAAATTGTCGTACATACAGATATCCTGTTGATTTAGAAGATGGGAGCTCCAGTTTACGCGAGACGATGGCTGAATCACAATGGATACCATTTTCTTTGGCAATGCAACAGTCTCGAGCACGTCTAAAGGCTCAACTGGAGGGCACAGAATGCCAACCTCTACACATGATAATTAATGGGGAAGGAGGCTCAGGAAAGAGCTGGCTGATTGAACATATCGTGAAAGACCTGCATTCTGTATTCTATGGTAATGGAACTGATCGCTTGGCCCAGCGTGTTTTACTCCTAGCGCACCAAGGAACGGCAGCGTTCAACATCAAGGGTCAAACGCTCTGCTCTGCGCTCGAATTTGGCTTCTTTTTCTAGATCAGCATTTTCGGTTCCGTACAATTCAGTTACTATTCAGAAAAGTGGCCCTGCAAAACTGAAAAAACTTCAAGAGCATTATAAAGACGTTCATAGTGATAATTGACGAGTTTAGTGTCATATCCTGCGGAATGCTCTACTGGATTGACCAACGAATGAAAGAAATTTGGCCTTCCCACAGAGCGCAGCGTTTTGGAGGTCGAGATGTTATTTCCACAGGCGATGCAGCTCAGATAGATCCCGTCGTACCTTACTCCCTCTCTACCCCACCCCACAAAATAGCTAGCGATATCCACCGCAAAGGCAGAGAAATTTGGGAAGATATCGAGTCGGTCTGCATACTTACCAGTCAAAATCGCGGTAGACAAGATCCAGAATGGTTCGATGCATTGCGTAGACTACGAAGGGGGAAACCAACCCCAAGTGATATTGAGTTATT